GAAAGAGTGAGGGGAAAATTATCACTAGCTGTGTGGATTCAGCTTGTCTAAATTCACTGTAACTGTAAAGCATCTAGCTTTGCTCCATTCTTTACACTGTTGAATATCTGTTGGTGTTCTTGGCTTGGAGACATGGAAAGCTTTGCCAGGGATCTACGAGAGTATTGAGGGAGAGACTGGAAAAAGAAGATAAGCTATTTTTTCCCCAAATACTATTCAGACCTAGATCAGACCAGGCAGTTGACATCACACACGCTGTCTCTTTAATATTGACAAAAGCTGTGTGTAAGCCTAGAATTTCCTTCATAGGGTCCCTTGTAGGACCAGAGCCACCTTTAATCAGTAAGAGGTTGAAAGTTTCTGAACCCTACTAATGACTTTGTAACACATTGATGCTGTGACAATAGCACAGAAACAGTTATTAACGGCTACTTTAGTGTTCTTTTGCTTACACCAGAGAGCATTATTTTATTTTTACACTACTTACAGCAACCTATCTTAATATACAATATTTTGTCATGTACTAAACTGTTAAACTGCAAAATCTATATTGTGAATCCTTGTAATTGTTTAATATGATATGTTAATTTGAGAGATCGGTTGTCAATCTCAGATTAAATACAATTTTAAATAGTTCTTTAACGTTGTCAGCGCTTACACAAATATTTCAGTCTCTCAGCATTTGTACTGTTCTTACAACAATCTGAAAACTGCCCCTGGTGTTTAGAACACTGTAGCATTGATCCAGGGAAGTGTGTGAGCATATGGGGTTGCACGAAGAGCCCTCAGTGCTTGAAATCAAGCACACAGTTACGCTGTTGAGTTGGAAGGGTGGTTAGAGTAGTCAGCACTCGCCTGAGCTGAACGCTGAATTCTGAAAGCCTGACACAGATTTCACTGAGGAAGACTTTCAGCGATACCGTTTTTCAAGAGGACGCTGGTGAGAATTCTGCCACTCTCTACTCTGTCTTAGCGTCCAGGATAGCAAAGACGCCTTTATCCGCTGGAAGGCAGTTGGCTGCATTTCAGTCGTTCTGCTGTGTAATGTTATTGTAAAGTGCCTGGAGAGCTGCAGCTGATGAAAAACTGTGGATAAATGAAAAACATCCTGTCCTTTCCTTTCAGATAACTGTAGATTCAGAGTATGGGAGTGATTCCTTTTAAAGTCCACATTTTGAGTGTGAGAAGATACTTTGGAAACATTCTTTATTTATGCATTTTGCGAGTCAATTTTTCATTCACCAGTTCTTTTAAAAAGAGTAAGTGCACATAAAGGAAATAGACCCACAGAGGTCTCTTCCAACCCCTACTATTCTGTGATTCTGTGATTCTGTGATTCTGTATGAAGAGACATTAAATGCTGTTAGAATATATTCTGTTATTTTAACATTGCTTTTGTACTGTTTTCTTCAAAACTTTACAGAAATGTTTGTTCAGTCTGTATTAATCTCTGCAGTAACAACATGCAAAGCAAAAATATAATCTTTACATTTCTGTGCAGGCATGAATGAAGAAAATACACTTGCTCTTGCCCCACAGGACTTTTTCATAAAGTTTTTTGGTTTTTGCGTTCTTTCTAGTACGATTTATTCAGATGTAATATGTCATACGTGGCAAACACTGCTGGATTAGTATCCTCCTTGTGCTCAGTATATTCCAAATGTGTATTGTCAGCAGTTCAGATACTAATACTTTAAAAGAAGGATTTAGGAAAATAAAGGTAAAATAAACCAGAGTGACTAATGTGAGTTTTCTTTTCATAGGCAGAATTTTCAGAAATCAACTTGATAGCCCATGCTGATGGCAATTATGCAGTCGATATCCAAGTCTTTCGAAATGGCACTAAAGTTGTCAGGTAAGGAAAACTGAATAGAATAACAGCAAATAAAGCAGTAAATTACATGATGTATGCAAGTAAAAGGTACTGAATGATTTTTTTGTGTATGTGCCATAGGGATTTTGACTGGTGCAACGCACCTTGGTCATTGGCATGAAAAGTAGGAAATAAAGTATGGGATCAGTGCACTCAGTCCTGTTTGTGACGGGAGGAAACCGCTTGGCGTTTTGATCCCATGAAAGATGGATTTGATTAAGACAGGAATGAAGTCTCATATAAAGAATACACGACTGGGAGTTAGGCCTAGCGATTTGGGTGTTTGCTTCAGAAATAAAGGTAGTCTTGGTGATTTTGTACATGCCAGACTTTTCCAGATGAGCAGTATTTATTTTCAGAGTTGAATATTTTCTATTGAAACGGGCCAAGTCATAGTACTTCTCTCAGGATAGTTACTGGAATATCACTGTCTGCTTGAAAGATTTCGGTTTAAAGGCCTGAGATTTCCAAGGAGGTTGTTTTGTCCAAAAAGGATTATTCCAATTGAAAGCAGGGTCATTTTACCATTTTTTTTTCAGTGAGGCCATCAACAGCCCTGTAAGTGTAAGGGGAGAAAGCAGGGGTATGTCTGGCCAATGTAAAAGCTGAAGTAAGTATTAGCAAAATTATTTCAGGCAGTCCTATATTTTATCTAATTTGTGGGAATTACTCCTATTTTGGCCAGTGCAGTTAAGTATGAGTGAAGTGGAGCAGTTGTTTGGCTGAACAATTGCATTCAGAAAGGCAGATCAGGCCCCTAACAGTGACCTGGCAGTTTGCTGCTGATGTTTATCTTTAGGCGAGAGTAAGAGTTCAGGGAGCTGGACAGCATACAGCATGGCTTGTGTCTTCGTGTTTTTGCACAGCATCTGTCCAAATAAAAGATCTGAAAATTTCCCATGTAAAAAGATCAGGAAAAATAAATGCTGAAAATAAGTGTGCGTTGTGCTCTAAAACTCACAACTGTTTAATCTCTTGTGTGTTCTAAAAATACAGCAGCTTAATACAACAACCACTTATGCCAAATCCACAAGATTATTTCCTTAGAAGAGTAAGAGATTTTTTTTAGGGTTTGGGTTGGATTTTTTTTTCCCCCAATGATAGAAGTTTTGGAGCCAGGAAATCTTGATCACTGCTCCTTAGTGACTTTTCTGTAGAGAGTTTTCCAAGCAGAACAAAGTATTGAGACCAATTTAGCAGCAAAACATGTTGATACTTAATGTGAGTTGGGAACCTCCAGAAAATGGCATCTGCAAAGAGGTATATGTGTAGTTTGTGAGAAAACTTGGTAAAACTACTGCTTTTGTTAAGGAACAGAGAAATCTTCGTGTCATCAGATAACTCTGATAATGAGATCACAAGGATTTTATAGTACCGGTTTTGTGGGTAATTGATTTAACCAGATAGAACTACCTGGCGCTGATAAACTCCACTCACTCCCGCGTGCGGTATAATGCATAATGCCCTCTGTCTTGTAGTGTTTGTTCTGGATGTTCTTTTAGTACTTCTCTGCCCATCAGCGAGACATTTTTCCGTGTTAAGGTTTTGCTGTTGAAGGTAAAACAGTTTGATCCTTGCCTGTTAGCAGCATATCTTTTTCTTGCTAGGTCGTTCAGGCCTGATTTTGTCCTTGTTCGACAACATTCGTTCAGCATGGCAGAAAACGAAGATTTCCGTAACTTGATCATTGGAATGCAGTATGCCGGCATCCCGAGCGTCAACTCCCTGGAGTCGGTCTACAACTTCTGCGACAAACCGTGGGTGGTAAGTGATGCACCGAAAAGTTCTTCTCGTGCACAAAAAGTCAGGGACTTCTGTTTGTTTGCTTGTTGAGTTCCGTTTGGTGACTATTGAGCAGCAAACTGCAAAGTTACTTAGCAGAGCAGTGAAGCAATAGTGAAAGGAGTAAAAAGTAAATGAAGATATTTAAATCAGTTTTTCAAAGAGCCAGTGTAGGCAGTGTGAAGACAGGGAGAAAAAAAATATTTGTAGTACAAATAATGAAGTAAGTGAGGAAACTCCTGTCCACTGCTAACATACTTCCTCAGGTGAGGAAAGTGTGTGTATTCACGATTTGTCTGGGAAAAGCAAGCTGAGAATATTTTTCATGTTTGTGGTTTTGATCATAATTTAAACAGACTTTTAGCCAGTGTTTTCCTCATACCTGTGAAATTTTTGAGGCTGTGCTTTAGCAAGGAAATCTGAAGCTATTAGTTTTCTCATTTGAAAGCTCTTTTCATAATCTTGTGCACATGGGGTAGGATTTGGTCTTTTCAGTTCCACCTAGAGTAATGCGGTGCACTGGAGAATCCCTGATATTTGCTAGTTTTAGTGTAGAAGCCAATTCAGTTTTTCGTTACATGCTTTGTAGTGATGCAGGCAGAGTTTGGTGATCCTTTTGATTCCTAAAGAACTAAAGGTTAGTAGCAGTAAGTTAAAACGTGAAGCTGTTAAAGGTGATTATCAATGGTGCAGTCACTGTTCCCATAATAGATATATTCAGCTCTCCGAAAGCTAATGAAACTTTAAAATATCCCACTTGTTACAAATAGCCAAAGCTTTATAATTTTTTCCTCTGATGTCTGGGTAAGAAAAGAACAGTTGTCAGTATTCTTCACACTGAAAGGGAAGTTTTACTGTAATACTTCTTATTGCCTTGAAGATGTTTATTTTTTCACACTTACTATGGAAATCCTTCCAAAAAAATGTCAGAAGATTTTAACATACACCTCTTGCAGCTAATTTTATTATACTTTTATGTGGCAGTAAACTGTGGTGGGGTGTAAATAGTTAATTGATAGAGCATTTATAACCTCTCAGAATACATATTGTACATTGCTGAATCCATTATCTTTAATACATCACATTTTCTGTGCTGTGTGGCAATACTTAATGCTTTGATTCATTGTATGCAATAAAGCTGGGCGGTGCAGCAATAACAGCAGCATTTATATGCGTAATGATGCAATAAAACGTAAGTGAATAATTCCTTCTTGTAATATTTTTCTGGTGGTGTGAGTCATGGCTGTTCTTCCACCAAACCGATAAAGATACCTCTTTCTTACAACTGGTCTTGTTGCACATAAAATTTCTGTGCTGATTTTTTACTCTTACAATAATAACTGGGAGTAACTGAGAGTTGTGGAAATATTTACTATAATAATTGGAAGACTTAGCAAAAACAAATAAAAGGTTAGGTATGTAAAAGAAGTCATGTTCCATATATTTTTTGTTCTATACAGTACAACTCACAAACAAATAATAAAGTATTATGCTTAGAAGGTCTTCTTTGAATTTAGAGTTATCACCGAATCCCAGCATGGCAGGGGTTGGCAGGGCCCTCTGTGGGTCATCCAGCCCAACCCCCTGCCCAAGCAGGGTCACCCAGAGCAGGCTGCACAGCACCGCGTCCAGGCG